AAGAGGTTTTATAAACTTGTTTATATCCTATAAGCATGTCAAGCTTGCGCGCGCTGCTTACATTCAAGTTCACTAGCTTAAGGTAGTACCTCCGCGACAATAATCCAGATCAAAAATTTTGACTCGCTATCCATGTTATACGTATCGACAGAGCTAAGGTTGTAGGTTAAGATTTTTTAACGTTACTGTACTCGTCGACTACTATATTCTTTATACATATACACACACACACTACGGTTTCAGTGACTAGCGGCTGTTTTTCGTACCCCCTCTCCTAAAAATAATCCTCTAAAAGTGAAATTGTTTTTAATTAATCTCGAAAACTACATGGTAGAAAATTTTCATTTTTTTTTTAATTGTTCGAAATATCATATTCTTCAATTTACTAGTTTTTTGATAAAGTCTTGAAATTCCTTCGATGGAAAAAATTAAAAATACTGCCATTTTCCCACGCTTCTCCTATGTTACATGTACAAAAATGTCATTTTCAATTGCAATTATCTCAAGTTTGGTGTGGTAAATCGTCTTCAAATTTTAACAGCATATGTATTATGTATTTAATGACTTATATTCAAAGTTTCGAGGATTTCTTGAAATATTGCTTTCATAACCGTACTACCTTATAATAAAAATCTTGAATTTTGATTTATTGTCGTTCTGAAATTAGAATTTCAAAAAAATTTCAGCGTCTAATATTTGCAATAAGAGTAACCTGTAGTAAATATATTTTAAAAATTGGAGATTGACATCACTATTTTTGACATTGTTCAAGTAGCAAGGCTTATTTGTACACAGAAAAAAAAAATTATCTTGAATCAAGAAAATAATTTTGAAAAATTCCATCTTCTTGATTCAAGTAGAAAAATTCTTAAATTAAGAAATTATTCTTGATTTAAGTAAATTTTTCGTCCTAAATTAAAGACAATGAAACTTTAAAATTATTCTCTTGGTTCAAGAATTTTTCTCTTGATTTTTTAATTTTTTTTTTTCAGTGTATTGCTTCTTTTTAAACTGAGAGAAAAATAAGTTGATTCAGAGAAAAGTTCTTAAACTAAAAAAATTACTTTGAATAGTTTCATCGTCTGAATTTAAGTAGAAAAATTCTTGAACTGAGAAATTTTTCTTTGTTAGAATAAATTTTTTTGCTTAATTTAAAACAATAAAACTCTTAAAAATAATTTTTTTGATTCAAAAATTTTTTTCTTCAATTAAATTAATTCTGTCTTCAGCGCTGGATTAGTTTTCTGAATTCTAATGACAATATTAAATTACAACAAGGCTCACTTTACAAAAGTCCATAATTGAATATCTGAAACTACAAAAATTTAATTGTAATTAAAAAACTTTTCAAGATAGTACTTGACGCTGTATTATCTGTAACTTCTCAAAATAAATTTTAAAAAATTTCACACGTTTTTAAATAAACCTTAATATTATTTTAATATTCTAAAACTATCGAAGATATTATTACGGAGAACAGAAGCATCTGCAAAAAAAAATAATTATTTAATAAATTTATAAAAATCTAAATACATACCAACCTTTATTATATTTTTAAACAATTTCAAAGTAAGAAAAAAAATTCTGATATTTTTCCAAATCATTCTTATGTTTAAAATTAAACTGACGATCAAGTGTTTCCAAATTTGATCAATTAATTATGTGTATTAAGGTGTTTATTAGTAATTAATGCTGTTTGATTATCTTCAGTCCAAAATATTACAAATTATAAATTACGATGCAGTTTCTTGGAAATTTTAGCAGCAAAAGTAGAAGTTAGAACGTATGGAGCTTTTTATAAAAATAAAAGAAGTGATCTAGTCGACGGCTGAAGAATTAGTGTTCTGCACAAAAAGTTGCGCGCATTTCTTCCCCACCTGGCGACAAAAAGCACACCTGCGTTTATGAATAAACAACGAAGATAATGATAGGTATTAGTTATTCAAGTGAAAAAAACTAAACATTGTAAATTTTATTTCTCAGAACTTTAATTTAAATTGTTAAAAACAATATTCTGGAAGGCTCGATGTCGCGCTTGGTATTAATTATTCATACTTTTGTCGCAAAAACTTACCGCGACAAAGGGTTCATTAACCTTCTAAAGATAACTCTTTTGTTTCCAACTGTAAAATTCACCTTAAAGTTTAAAAAAAACTTGAGACTAGAGCTTATAGATCGACATCGATTTTAAAAAATAAAATAAAAGATATGGTTACTTTGTTACAATATACTTTTGAAGTATGTTAATAATAAATGATCTGTGAGAAATTTACCCTTTTCTAGGTGATTAATAATTAACGAATCGTCTGCGAAGTTTATAAGATAGAGATATTTTTTTAAAAGAAGATGGACAAAAGTTTAGCGCTTGCGCAGTAAACTTTTTTGCCGGTTAGTCTTGAATCAACCCTTCGACAATTTACTTCAGTTTTAAGAGCAATTTATATTACCGCGTATTAAAGTTATGGATAATATCTTCATACTGATGGAGTGATTTAATTGGTATTAAACCAGACAAAGACAATTTTAACGAGTTTTTTTAGATACTTGACATTAAAGTTATGTAATAGTAATAAATAGTTATTCTCAGGAATATAAACAAAAAAAGTTTTTTTTTCGTAAGACATTATTAATTTAATTGATTATGTTACAATAATTTATAAGCAATAATGAATAAAAGTAAGTTTTTTATTAAAAAAATTTTTATTTCTATATTTTTTCATCAAAATATTTTTGTCAGGGATAGTTTTAGTATAGTTATATAATATTTCTACGTAAATTCTATACTTTTCAGTTATCAAATTTAAAAAATGATATGAAATTTATCAATATTAAAAATCACAAAAATTATTTACTTGATTTAAATAATTAATAATAATAATAATAATATTTTAATAATTAATAATAATTATTTTTCAGACTGATAAAGAAAAATAAAGATTTGCACATAAGTTACAGTGTTAAGATTTTATGACTGCAAAGTATTCCTCTCATTACTGCAGTCGGATCTGTAGATGATCTTGTCATTGTTTTTAATAATTTCGTGTTAACATTTAATTAACCTGTGCATTAATCTTAAAAAATTTTTTATCAACTTTGAAATAAATAACAAAAATACTCTCGTGTAAAATTGTATTTTCCGTAAAATATATATTTTTTACATGTTCATATTTTATATTATAATTTAATAAATAATATTATTTACCTGGAAAAAAATTTTTTATTAATTGAATCTATTTATTTATCTTGCATAAATTCTAAAAACTTGAGAAAAAATATTTTTTCCATTGAATCTCATTTACTTCATTATTATTATTATCAATTTCATCATAGATGATTTTATTAGTCATAAAAAAAATTCACAATTTTTTTCAAAAATTACTAATGTTATGTAAAAAAATATTAATTTAGGGTAATTAATTAATTTTACATTTAAAATATTTAATGTGTTTAAGTATTTGGTCCTAGCGTGTTAGGCTAATAGACCGGGAACTTCCGAGTTTTAATTTATTGAGAAAGATAGGTTTGTTTGAATAAATTGATGTAGTTGAATAATTTTAATACATATATTGTTTAAATCCAAAATTAATATCATTAGTTAATTTACAATAGTTACAATTATTACACAGTGATTGAAGTTAACTTTTCTTTCATATAACGATTTTACAATATTACCAAATTCACAAATATTAATAATTCAAAATATACCTGATAAAAATTTGATGAACCTTGTTGATTTAATTTGTTTTAGTTGGTTTTACTTTACGATTTTACTTTACCTTTACAAATGCTTTATTTTCTGTACAATAGATTTACACGTGGTCTATTGAGACTTATTTAAACTATGTACGATGTTAACACTAGGATGTCAGGACAACGAGAGAGATTTTTTGGTGACAATTGCGATGGTGTCGAATTTTAGGGCGTAACTAATTTCCGCTTTGGGGGAAATAAATTACCAATTATTTGTCTATTTTCTTGGGCCCTTACCCTCTCTCTTAAATTTGTCTAAAAATGTTGCATGTCCCTCTATTTGGGTCAGAGTGCAACATGCTTTCTCACTTACTCTTATGTTCTATTATTCATCTATGTGTTTGCGTTTACGTAAGCGCATTTACGCATAGACAAAGACATACATTTGTACTGTCTACATTAATTTATTTATTAAAATCGTATGAATAAATATGTACTCGAATCTAACATTTCTTACGTTTCCTTGAATTTAATTATTTATTTGTAGAAATATTTCTGTTTTGTCATTTTATAATTTTGTTGTATTATTTTAGAATTTAATTGTTTAATATTTGTTTATTTTTAATTATTTAACTTTCAAGTTCTATTTTTTTATTTCTTTTTCATTTCATATTTAATTTTGTTGTCTAAAAATTATTTCGGAAAGTGCAATATTAAAATTTATTTCAATATTTTTCTCAACACTAAAATTCTGTCATTCTAAAAGTTATTCTAAAATCTTTCGGTTTAAAATAAATCTTTTATCTTATGTTCTTTATCATTACTTAAGTATATCTTAATATCTATTTAATCTCTTTAAAATACCTGGGCCCTCAGACTAATTACGGGAATTTCCCTGGACTTTTGCAAAGATCGAACGAGACACTTAATGACCACACTCGAATTATCTTTTACAATCGTTAAAATTTAAATAAAATTATACTCGATTTTTTATAATTAATAAATATGTAAAGAAAAATTTCTTTACATAACACTAATTTATGACAGAAGATAATATTTAATGAAGATAGAACACTTTTTAATTTATTATTCTCATAATCAATAAAAACATAAAATGAAACTTTCTCCTTCATTTCTAATTCATAACTCGGAAGCGTTTAAAGCGTATAATTTAAGACGCAAGCGCTGGAGGGAATTGTTTTTTTTTTTCTATCTTTTAAAAACTATTCAGTTATTATCGCACCCTTCTACTGAAAGGATATCTTATGAAGCTTTTTTAAAGCATTAACTCAGTAAAAAAAAAAAAAATAATGGATGTGCAACATGCAATCAAGTATACGCAATGGTTTATGGAGCTCCTAGCAATACCACACCGATATAAAAGAAAATTTTCTACTAAAAAAAAATTATCATCCGCGGTTGGACTTTTTGTAATTAACGTTCTTATTGTCTGGAATATAAGCTTCAGATCGATTGATATGTTCACAGTAGTAAGAGATTTTGATGAGAAGATTTTATTATTTGCTCCTTGGTCTTTTTCAGTGGTTATAAATATAAAATATATGTTTATGATATTTCGTGGTAATGATATTATGATGATTATTGAACATATAAAAATAGATTGGATAGAAAAAAAATCACCTGAAGAAGAATTAATAATGGTAAGAAATTCCCAACTGTGTAATCGTATAACTTTATGTTTTATGGTTTTGATGTACGTCAGTGGAGCGTTGTATAATTTTGTAATACCTTTTGTACTACCGATACTATTGCACAGTAAATCTAATACTTCTGATCGAACACCGATTTTTGACGGCTACGATGTTTTTTTCAATGCTCAAGTGTCGCCAATTTATGAAATAACATTTTTTTTTCAAGTGTATGTAGTTACAATAGGTTTCTCAATACTTATTTTTATGTGTCACTTAACAGTAGTTTCAGTAACTCATGCGTGTGGGCAAATTCAAATTATTAATTATCTAATTAGATATTTGATAGATGATATTATTGACATAAATAATATTCAAAATAAAATATCGATTATAATCAGCCGTCATATTAGGGTACTCAGGTAATTATTTAAAATTTTTTCAATGATAATTAAATCTATTAAAATAAATTTTTTAAACTTTATAAATTATGAATTTTATCCATTGAACAATAATACATTTGTAAGGGTCGTTATTTTTAATGAACTGATTTAAAAAAATTTTAAAATTAAAAATAAATTTAGTAAAATATAACAATCTTTTAAATTTCAATAAAAAATTTGTTCAGTGGTGAAAATAAATTGAAAAATTGATACCTAAAAAATAAACGACAATGTTTTTATTTTTTATTAAGTTTTAAAAGTTTTCAAGACTAAGTAATGACTTTTTAAATTTTTATTCAATATAGTTTTGTAGAAAATGTTCAAAAAATTTTACTTGAATTATGTTTGCTCGAGATGGGTGCATCTACTGTACTTATTTGCATCGACGAATATTGTTTTTTAAAAGTAAGTCAATTAATAAAATTAATATTAAGCAAAAAAATTTATTTTATAGATAAAATACATAAAACGACGTGTGTTATTCTTCAAAATTTTTGGATTTTTTTTTTATAAATATTGACTTCATTTTAGATGTTAGAAACAAATGATATTGCAAATATGATTCCTTTTGGAATGCTCTTTGTATGTTTAAATTTCAACATATTAGTGCTGTGTTATTTTAGCGAACTTTTGAACAGCCAGGTATATAAAAAAAAAAAAATTTCTGCTATAAATTATTGTATAATAAAGATTTTTTGTATTGACAATTTGCAAAAATAAAACTATTCAATAGTTCATTGAGATCGGAACAGAATCATCTATGACAGAGTGGTACAGATTTCCTCAGAAAATAAAAAGTTATCTTATTTTAATTATCTGCATGTCACAACGCTCTCAAAAATTAACCGCTGGCGGTATAATTGATTTATCTTACGGTACTTATATACAGGTAATTTTTTTTTAATTGGATTTTAAATGATACTGATATTAACGGACATCTAAAAATTCTTTAAATTTTTATAACAAGTCAATTATTATAAAAAAATAATTTTTTTTAATTCGCATTTATGATTTAAAAAAATTTCTAGATATGGAATTTTTTGCTAAATCATTTTTTATTTTAGAAAAATTGTCAGATGTCAGGTAAATTCAGTATAATAATTTCAGTTGTATTTTTATTCTCATAATAATTTCTTTTAATTGTCAAATAATTTAATTTCTAGATACTGAAAACCGGATTTACTTATTTCCAAATGTTACGAGCGGCAGATCTAAAAAAAAAGTAGCGAAATTTAAATTGATGTTATGTATTTATAATTAACTATATGCTGTTTTAAAATAAATATCTTATTAGTTATATAATTTACTATTTACTCCAGAAGAAATGAAAGTTTCAGCCAATAGAAAGACCAAATATTAAAATACTTTTAATTAAATCTTTCCTGAATAAAAAAGAATTGAAAAAAGCCCTGATTGCAAATACTGATTGAAAAGAATTGTATATCTATATATACACACAAAAAAAATTGAAAATAATTCAAATTTCACATTTTTTTTATTTTTTTTTCAATCAGTATTTTCAATCAGGAAGAAAAAGTTCAATTTTTTCTAATATTTTTGAATACTTTTAAATTCCTTCTCTTGTAAAAAATTAAAATTGTCAATCATTTGGATTTATTTTTTTTAATCAGACAACTAAAAAAAATTTACTAATTTTTAAAATCAAATAAAGCGTTCTTTTTTAATAAAACTAAAATTTGCCGACATTCAAAAATTTTTTATTTTTTTCAATAATTAAATAACAACTAAAAAATAGTTTTTAAAATTGCACTTACAAATTAGTTTTTACAAATGAAAATTTTTTTTTGTCATAATTTTTTCAATAAAAGAAAAATCTAAAATTTTTTTTAAATGTCGGCTAATTTAATTTTTCATTTCACAATCAGCCCGCAGACCGACGCGCCATCTTCTCTCGAAGCAAGTCTACCTACCCTGATAGCCACACTTACTATAAAAATACTTGTAGTATAGCAAGTTTAGTCAAAGTTAACGTTAAGTTCACTCCAAAACTTGTACAGTAAAAGTTATATACAATTTGTGTTGAAGTTGTATAGTAACTTGACGTTAATCTACTGCCGCAATTTCAATCCAAGTTTTAACAAACTTTTAATATGATACTAATGTTAGCCGACGTTTAAAAATTTTTCTATTTTTTTTAACAATCAAATTGCAAGTAAAAAAATAATTTTAAAAAATTTCATTTATAATTTTTCAAATTTCCTACATGTGAAATTTTTTCTTTTTATTTTATAGTAACAATTTTTTTAATAAAAACAATTATAAAAATTTTCAGATGTCGGCTAATTTAATTTTCATACTTTTTATCTATAAAAAAGTTATTGTTAAGTTAGAATGATATTTAAAAAAAAAAAATTACTGTAAAATTCATAGAAAAATTAATGTTACTTTAAGTTATATTTATTCGGGCCTTTAAGTTGATTAGCAAACCATGATTTAAAAAAGTTTTTTGCAGCAGGTTAATTGTCAATCACTTAAGTGATTTCTTATTTTTCGTAAGAATTCTTATAAAAAATTAATGAAAAATAATAAGACGATAAAAAAAATTTTAATGCTTTGTAAATAAATTTATCAAAGATTTCAGAATATTTCTATATTCAAGAAAATTAAACATCACATAATTTCAGATATTTATTTTTATTAATAAATTATTGAAACACTTATTTTATACATTTTTGAAGCAAATAATGAAAATTAATTTAGCTGACATTTGATAATTTTAAGAATTTTTTTTAACAAGTAAATTATGGTAAAAAAGAATTAGAAAAAAAAAAAAATTGACATGTAGAAATTTATAATAATAAAAAATGTAATTTTTTATAAATAATTTTTTGGAATTAATTTATTTGTTAAAAAAAAATTACAAAATAGTCAAGTGATTGCTAACTTCAATGTCATAGCTAAAAACAAAAAACTATTAAATTAATTCAATTCACTCACTTTATATTCATAATTGCAAATACAATTTTACATTATAAAAATATTGTAACAATAAAATATTAATTTTTTGTCACACGGCAGTAGTTAAAAATTTTTACTATGCTTCGTTTTTTTTACCGATAAATTACCTACCGATGTAAAAAAAGAGACAAATTCTGATAAACTGCCATATCAATGAGTGTTTGCATTCATTTTGTCCAACTTCACTAAAACTTCACATTAAGACTTTTACTAAAACATTTTGATAAAAGTTAAAGTCAAATTTCGGCCCTAGATTGTATAAAAGTTGGACTGCAACTTAACGTTAACTTTTACAATTGGATGTGTTAGGAAATACTGAGGTGGTTAGGAGGTGGTAAATAAAAAGCGCGGTGAATTCAAACTTAAATTTATTGTCAGTCTTCTTACACCGATTAGTACTCAATTGAATAAAATATTATATAATAAGTTTGCACTTGGTATAGACTCGTGGCAGTGAATGTCAACCGTCTTAAGATAGTTTCTTTTGGATGCGTGACCCTTCGTTGAGAACCTTCTGGTATATTCAAAGGAAAGGCTTAGAAGGCGCGGGGGTCTCTTAGAGATGCTCTTCTAAGCAAGATGATGCCCAATTTCCTTTGAGAGAACTCGACTTGCACCAGGAGGTATACTAAAGACGGCTACGAGAAGAGCCTATTACTTGAGAGTTTTCTTACTGATATGTAAGGTTAGACACTTTATTTAGGTACTTGACTCTTGATTTTAGATGTTAACTGTTTAATTGCACGATAAAAACTGATGCGGTGGCACTTGGCGCCTGTATTTATACTTAAGCCGGGAGGCCCAGAACGTTCTGGTAAGCATGCGCAGACATCGATTTCTGGAACGATGCCTGCGTCGATAATTTTCTAGAGGAATCGATTACTCGAAAGTTACTAGATAGAGAGCGCTTCGAGTCTTTAGGCGGGAGTTTGAATTAAATTATGCGAGAGATGGCGCCATTACTAAATTTATTAGAAAAAGAGACTAGAGATGGCGCCGCTAACTTGATAAATCTCAAACAGGATGGCTATCAGGGTAAATAAGACAGATAAAATATTCAGTATTTATCTATTCGATGTTGGTACTTAGTTGTTATTGTTGTTATTTTTTATATCAAGTGTTAGTGTACATAAAAAAATAAATAAAAATTATAACCTGTCATATGCACGCACATGTGACAATAATATAAATAAATAAATAGTTTTTGAACATTTTTAATACTTATCTTTATCAAAATCATTTTACCGGTTTATATAATTTTTTTTTTTGTAATTACAAAATGGGAAAAACATCAAAAGACAAAAGGGATATTTATTATCGAAAAGCTAAAGAGGAGGGTTGGAGAGCAAGAAGTGCATTTAAATTACTCCAAATTGACAGCGAGTTTAATATTTTTGATGGTAAACTTTTTATTATTTATTTAAGATACTAAAATAAGCGGACATTTGATAATTTTTTTTAATTAATAAAAATTATAAGTAAAATATTTTTTAAAAATTGCACTTTAAATTTTTCGAATTTTTTACATGTCAAATTTTTTTTTTAAATAATTATTTTCAATGAAAAAACTCTAAAATGTCAGTTAATTTATGACATTAAAGTTAGCAGCCTTGACCATTTTTTATTTTTTTTTTTTTAGCAACAAATTTGTTTGGAAAAATTATTTGTAAGAAATTGCATTTTTTTTTTCTTTTTAATTTTTACATGTCAATTTTTTGTTATAATTTTTTAAATAAATAAAAATTGTCAGATCTTAGCTAATTTCAGCGAAATTTGTCAATATAATTAAAATCAAACAATTGTTGATATAATTTTTAATTATTATTTATTGTTATTAGGTGTTACAAAAGCAGTTGATTTATGTGCAGCACCAGGAAGTTGGAGCCAAGTTTTAACCCGAAAATTAAAGTAAAAAATTTTTTCTAAATCTTATCAAAGAATTTTTTTATATCTCTGTGTCTTTATTAATATAATAAAAATTTAACTAATGAATTTTTGACACTGCAGCGAAAGTTATAAATTAAAAAATGAAGAATTAAAATCCGGGAGTTCGTCATCAAGCAATGAAGAAGTAAATGAGCCACCAAAAATAATAGCCGTCGATTTACAAGCAATGGCACCCTTGGACGGCGTGGTGCAAATTCAAGGTGATATTACTAAAATATCTACTGCTGAAGAAATAATAGCTTATTTTGAAAATTCTAAAGCTGATTTAGTTGTTTGCGATGGAGCGCCTGATGGTAACTAAATATTAAAATTATTATTTTTTTTTTTCAAAAGTTATAAACCAAAATGATCCTTTGATTTAGGGTAAATGCACCAATTATTGACCGATTAAGGTTTTCTTTCTCTGTACTAAGCTATAAAAAATCTATTAACCTACTAAAAACAATTTGTAATGGATTTTATTAAAATTAAATACTTAATTAATAATAATTAATAACTATTTATAATAAAAATTAACAAAATTATATTAATTTTGTTATTTGAATGTTGAAATACTAAAATCACCAATTATTGACCGAAGAAACCCAATAAATGACCGACCGTTCTCCAATTAATTGATCGCTCAAATAATTATAAGTAATTTTGTAAACTACATGTAGGGGAGCCTGGGGCACGACGGCCTCCTTAAGCAAATTTTTTTATTTTGTGGCTTTTAACCATCAAATTCATTTATTTTCCATCTATTTCGAACGAATTAGTCGACATTTTGCAAAAAATCGAAAAAAAAAATTTTTTTTTCTGGGGCACGACGGCCCCCTCCCCAAAAAATCATATAAAAAAATTTTTTTTTTACTTAAGCTATTACCATCAAAATCTAGAGATTTTCCTCCCAGAAAACGTTGTCGAGGGAAAACCACGATTCTTACATGTCTTGAGTATCGCCGAGAACTCACAGAAAAAAAAAATCAACATGAAGCAAAAAAAAGACCTCAATTAAACAAAAAAATTGATGACGATAATTCTTTGTGATTCACTTGAATTTTTTTATTCTTCTCCTTCTTTTTTTTAATTAAAGCTTTTTTACTAGCTTGTAACTCTTTTTTATTTTTTTAATTGCTTAGCAATTTTTTCTTCTAATAATTCATTCATTGATATAACCGTTCACTAAAAAAATTAGAACAAAATAAAATTTAATAATCAAAAAAGATTTTAAGTATTATTTTAATTATAAATATACATTTTATGGGTGATTCTCTGTAAGGGCGTTTTAAATCTATACAAAGCTGTCCGACTAAATTATTTTTGATTTTATTAGAAAAAAAATTAACAAGGGCTACAAAACTATTAACTTAATCATAATAAATAAACAGCCGAATTAATTTTTGCTTTTTCAATATTTGTGTATCTTGTGCCATATAACATGACAGGGGACTGTTTTTTTCTTATCAAATTGAGAAAAATCAAGCAAACTATTTCAATGCATTCAGTTTTTTAAGTTCTCAATCAATGTTTACATTAATTAGAATAATATTAAGACTTATAGATCCATTTTTATAAATAAATTACATATAAAAATAGTTGCCAGGGGACTGAGTTTTGTAGTGGCCCAGACACATATTTCCAGCACAAACGGTGCTTTGACACTAAATAAAATGGCGATAAAGCGCTAACAGCCCTATGGTTATTAACTTAAGGCTAGTTAGTTCCTTATAAACTTTACAAAAGGTAAAATAACACGCTGGATTTTTTTATTTTTGGCTTTGAACTTCTGGCAGGGGACTGTACTTAAAATGCCTGGGACAGACTTCGATTTGATGAAATTAATAAAACAAATTAATTTTCGGTACTTTTCATTGAAGAAGATTATTAGTTAACTAATTAAGTTTATAAACATTGTGGACCAAATTATATATTATGAACGAATAACTTAAAATTTAATCTTAAATTTTTAATTTGGGGAGTGGGACAGCCCAGGGGACTGTCATTTTGGTGGTTTACGAATTTATAGCAAAAAAAACCAAAATTTATTTCATTTCAATTTTCAATGCTCCAAATAGAAATGTTTTTTTGCTTTCATAATAAATTTTTTTTAGTAACAAAATAACAATTTTTCTAATAAAACAATGCCTGGGACAGCAAAAAACATCCTTACAGAGAATCACCCTTATAATGATTATTTTTATATTTACAAAATATTGAATGACTAACGTACTTTAAACACTTGACAGATTTAATTTTCAGCTTAAGAAGTTAGTATTATAAATATACGGTCATTAATTGGATTGTGATAAAATCAGAGGGTCTAATAAATGACCGAATGAATTTTTTACTGGGTAAAGGGCTTCTGACGGATCCAATAGTTGACCGGTCTTAAAATAATATTAAAACTTATAATTTAACTTTATTTTTTTAAAAAAGTTAGAATCTGATCTTTAATTAACATAATAAAACTAAAATATTTTATATTATGCCGATAAATATCACTAAATTAATGATGAAATGCACTCACTCTCCAATTGTACGCTAGTTATTTTTCACCGCTTTATGGCTGGTTGCGTTGTAAACAAACTCAGAATATTTTTTTAAAGCTATAATCACTAAGCAATTAATTGGGTAATTTTTTATTATGATGATTAAATGCCATATATTTTTATTTTAATAGTTTAAGAAAAAAAAAACCCTTGTAAAATATTAATTAATTAACTTTTTTATACATCGGTCAACTAATTGGTGACCGGTCAACAACTGGTGCATTTACCCTAATTTCTTTTTAAAATAATTTTAATAAATATTTTTTTTTTAATAATTTTAATAAATATTTTTTTTTTAAATAATTTTAATAAATATTTTTTTTTTTAATTATTTTAATAAATATTTTTTTTAGTAACCGGATTACATGACATGGACATTTACATTCAATCGCAATTACTTTTGGCAGCTTTAAACATAACAACACACGTTATACGACCGGGTGGTACTTTTGTTGCTAAAATATTCCGAGCTAGAGAAAGCTCATTACTATATTCACAATTAAAAGTATTTTTCAAATATGTCTCTTGCGCAAAACCGAGCAGCTCACGAAATTCAAGTATCGAAGCGTTTGTCGTTTGCAAAGATTATTCACCACCTGATAATTACATTCCACATATGTTAAACCCACTATTAACTCACGAGCCATTGAACTATGATGAGTTGACTGGTATCAACAAATATGTTGTTCCATTTGTTGTATGTGGAGATTTAACGCAGCCTGATTCTGATTCGTGCTATCCTCTTTCAGTGAGTATTATTTTTTATTAAATTTCTTACAACAAAAAAAAATTTTTAATTAGATAAAAGACCCAGTTATTGACACTTGGAGTTTTATTTTAATTAAAAAAAATAAATCATCTTTAATAAATTGATAAATATAATTTTTTAATAATAAATTTTAAGAGCATTTAATTTTTTTAATTAGAATAAAATTGCAAGTGTCAATAACTGGGTCTTTTATCTTATATAATACATAAAAATTATAATATATAAAAAAATATATAGGAAAATTTTTAATATTATAATTGTTAATACATAAAAAAGAAATTTTTTTTTATTTACTTTAAAGATTTTGAATATCTTTATTAAATTATAAAAATTATTCAACAGCTGAGTGGCGAAGAATATGTATATAAAAGTCCAATCCAGGAACCAATCGAGGCACCTTATGAAGAAGCTATCCAAAAGGAATTTAATTCAAACAACAAAAAATCAATTAAAGCTGAACCATCTGCATCGGAAATTTTTTACGATGATGATTTATCAATTGAAGACTTCAAAAAAAGTTCCCTTGAATTTCAGAAAAATAAAGAAGTAGCAGCGGCAAATTCCCAAATAAAACAAACTGACATCCATGAAGATTTTGTAAATTTACAATTGAATTAATTAATATTTATTATTCATTAATTATAATTAAATATAATTTTTTAAACACTTAATAGTTATTTTCACACTATCAATTTAATTCCTAATTAAATTTATTCTTTGAATAGTAATATACACAATTATTTACGTACAATAAGTGCTTACACTTGCATACATTGTAGGGTTTAGTATACAAACAAAAAAATAGAGTGAGTAATCAGTAGTAAATAAGAAGCCCACCGACAATGATCTAATCACCAAATATGGTAACCTACGAGGTACGGAAAATTCCTATCAGGTATTAATGTATTAATAAATATATACATTAAAATATTTACTAAAATTTTATTTAGTGTAATCTATATTATTAAGAGAATAAAAAAAATTTTGTCTTCGGGATATTCATATGATTAAATCGTTTTTTAAATGAAATTTAGTGTAATTGCAAAGGTCTTGACTTGAATTTGTGCCTTTTTAAGGTTTTGTATCATTCTCAACGATAGTCAATTTATGATGATAAGTATTTAGGCTGCATTCGAAAATGCTCTACCTCTAGATAAATAATTAAGAAATGCCCCTGTATCTTGTGAACTATTGAGACTTTTTAAGATATAAGCTCATCCCGATGTTACACTCATCAAGACCTTTCATTTGAGTACCCACATCAATTTTTTATATATTTATATTTATATATATTATATATATATGTAAATATGAAAAATATATCAAAAAGACATGTGGGTACTCAAATGAAAGCTCTTGATGAGTGTAACATCAAGATGAGCTTATCTCTTAAAAAATGTCAATAATTAAGAAATGACCTTGTATCTTGTAAAATATTGACATTTTTAAAGATGTAAGCTCACTCCCATATTACACTAATCGAGACCTTTCATTTGAGTACCCACATCAATTTTTCATATATATTTTATATATTTATATATATTATATATATATATGTATATATGAAAAATATATCAAAAATGCATGTGGGTACTCAAATGAAAGCTCTTGATGAATGTAACATCAAAATGAGCTTATATCTTTAAAAACGTCAATATTTAAGAAAGTACAGTGCAATTTAACTAAAATCATTATATAATAACCAAAATTTATTTATTTATATTTCACAAGTCCCGGAAGTCCTATAGTGACTAAGGATCGCTAGTATATATCAAAATAATTCTATTTTTTATTTTTACAGCCAAGACGTTGTTACGCGTGCGATAAAATATTTTGCTGTGTAGATTGTTGTGAGGAGCACATAAAGAAAAAACACAGTACCCGTCATACTATCACCGATTGTCCTCTGTGTCGCAGAGAACCTTTAACATTGCGTAATTTTGACCACGAGCAGCTTAAAAACCACGTGGTATTCAACCACCTGCCGCTGCAGTGTCTCAAGTGTGGTGAGTTGTTTGAAAAGCACGAAGATTTAAAATACATCGGCACTTGCGACCGGCATCCTATTATACGGATAGAGCCACCCACGTTGACCGAATTATGTGTCACTTCGTTATCTTCATCAAGTTTGGAAGCTACATCAGGAGTCACTAAAACTCCATCAAACTCTTCATCAGCCAAGCGCAAATCTTTGTCATTCAGCGGCGATTATCAACAATTTGAAGATTCGCCACGCGAATTTACTCGACATACAAGTACTCCGATGCAAGTTGGCTTGACTAAGCAGCTTAATTTATCAAATATTAACAATAATATAAGTGATAAAAGCGGTAATTTTTTTTTTAAAACACTTAAGCGGCCTGTTGTTCCAATAATTAGAATTTCAAGCACCAGTGATAAGTCAATTAATATTAATAACAATAGTAGTAATATTAATTTTAATTCTCCTGAATTTATTTCTCAAGATAATATAAAAAAATTTAATTTATCAAATTTTGAACGCACACCATTAAGATCTATTTTGTCTTCAAAATCATTTAATAAAGATTCAAGTAATCAAAGCGGAAGTTTATTTAAAAATTTATCTGAGCGTAGATTAGGAGCTATGATGGAATTAAATGATGAATCTGATAATAATAATTATAAAGAAGTACCGGATAGTGTTGGTGGATTATTAGAGCAAGAAGATGATTCTTTAAATTCAGAAAATAAAAAAAGAAGAGATAGTAAAGATTCTAGTAAGCGTGTAAGATTTTCCGATGAATTTAATTTAAAGTTAGAAGATGATAATTTAACTGATGATAATGAAAAAGAAGAATTTTTTGAATCTTGTCAGAGTTTTTCAGACACTTCTATAAGCTCGACGGAAAAAATTCAGTCTACTAGCGATAATAAATTTGTTGGAGATGAAAAGAAAGATGTACTTAAAGAAAACCTGGAGAATATTGCACAGCCCGGAAGCTCTGGTGGTTCTTCTAGAGTTGTCATGATGGTTCTTCTGGAGAAGTCAGGGGAAGTTTACCCAAGAGATCTGGCGCCGATTATAGACTCGAGCTTGGAGAAATTAAAGACTGCTATTACTGGCTCTAATGATCAGTTAGCGGCGACTTGTGTTAGTCAGGCAGATATTGATAATTGCCAGAGTGGGTTTGCAATGCTTTCGGTTGATAGTTATACGAAAGTATCTACTATGGAGTGTGTTAAGAATAATGATTCAGCTTCGAGCTACTCCAGTTGCTTGCAGAAAAATCAGGATAAAGAAAATAATTCTAAGGGAATTTTCGCTTCGGTTGCTAATGCTGTTAAAAGTGTCTTCAAAAATATATCAGGTCATTTTTGGTTTTTTTTTTTTGACTTGATTTTGTAAATTATTGTTAGTCTTTTGAAGTGAGAAAAAAAATTGAAAAAAAGAAAATTAATATTTTTGGGATGAAAAATAAATTTTTTGGAAATTTAAATAAATTTTAGTTTTTAGCTTAAGAAATAAAGAATTTTCTCAGTAATTTTTTTTAAAAAACATTTGGTAATTATAAAAAAACTTATTTTTTTTTTAATAAAAAATAGTTTTAATAATTAGTTAAAATTTTTTTATTTCTTCTTAAGTAATTTCATTTTTAATTCAAGTTTATTTATTTAAAAATTTTTAAGACAATTTTTTAATAATTAATTGTCAAGATTCATGAAAATTAACTTTTTTTATGTTTTTTATAAAACTTTACTAGTTCACAAACTTATGTCTATATAAAAATATCTGGTAATTATTTACAAGTGGGGTCAACTCCATTTTGAACTATAACTAAGTGAAAAATTAATATTTTCAAATTTTTTTTATTCTGCTTGTTTTTACGGCGCATTTATCATATATAATGTGTAAGAAAAAAATAAAAATTTCGATAATTTTTTTTACCTTCAAAAGTTGGAAAAAATTTTGGCTCTCATGTTTTTGGATAAAATTTATATTTTATCTTTTTTTGATATATATTTTTTTTTAAAGTACATAAAAAAACGAACAATTAAAAAAAAAAAATTTGAAGTTTAACAATTTGTTTTTTAATTTTTATATTCAAATTTATACTTTTCTTGTATTTATTATAACTACATTCCAAATTTAAGAAAAACGATTTTTAAAAATTTTTAAATTTTATATCTTCATTACTCATACGTGCACTTTATTATAATTTTTTCTTGTATACTTTTGCCATTTGGCTATACTGCCTTGGCATTGAAACCAATATCACAACTTTCTAAAAGATTTATCAATTTTTTAGAAAATTTGTTATAATTGTGATAATCAACTTTTCTTTTAAATTGTTTTATGTATTTTTCAAAAAAATATTTATCAATAAAATCAAATGAAAATTTCGTTTAAAAAAATGAAAATTAAAATGGTTGACCTCACTTGTAAATATTTACCAAAAAAAAAAAATTTTGGATGAAAATTTCCAAGCTGTAAAATTGTTTTTTTTTTTTTTTTTTTAAGCTAAAAAACTTTGAAAAAATTAATTTTTTATTCAAAAAAATATCCATATTTTTAAATTTTAATTCAAATTTTTTCTCTCAGTGTATTGTAAAATTAAAATTAATTAATTATAAAATTACAAATTTCAGGATCTTCTAAAAATACAAGTACCTTTCAATCAAATTCACCTGAGAGTACCCTCCAAGATTGGTCATCTATAGATTCATGTGAAAGCGCTATAACATCACTATCTCGAGCATCAAAACGTTCGCGTGAAGAAATGGAATTTCTACCGTGTTCATCTTCATCTTATTCATCAGACTCATCAATTGATTATAAAAGCGGAAGTAAAAATAAAGAAGATGAGGATAATAACAAATCTACCCCGAACGATACTCGCAGTCCGGCTGTAAAAAAAGCACGTGGATGGTACAACCAAATTCGACCTCGCAAACCTATTTCCCGAATGAAAAATAGCTCGTCTTCGACTCCATTGCCTCGTGGTGTTTCTCTTGAGACTCAGTGCTTCCAACAAGGCACTTTGAGCACCAAGGACGCCATTCTACCTCTACCTGATCGCGCTCAAGTCAATAGATCTACTCAAACTGACTTTTAATTCACTTAGCTACTTATATATATTCAATTTACGTTGATAGGAAATATTTTTTTTTTAAACTTAGATAATTAATGTATAAAAAAAATAATTTATTATTATTATTATTATTATTATTATTATAGGAAAATGTTATGTTAGATAAATGAATGTTATTTTAAATACTTTAAAAATTAATCTTCTGGTTTTTCGACGTGTGTTTGATGCTTCGCACCGATTATTAAATTCAAATTAATTAAATTTCTGTGTCCTTCAAAATAGCTTTAAGATCTGGGTTTTCTGTTACTAAATGAGAAGCCACACTTATAAAATTAGTTATCAGTCGTTTCATTATATTTATTTTTGTTATTAATTTTAACGCTCTTGCTTTTTTTGTGAAAATAAAAAATTATTTTTTGATAAAATTGGTTTAATTAAAACAATAAAATAAAAAGATATGTTTGTATATTTAACTTACTGAGCTGCTTCTTGATTTGATTCAGCTAATTTTTCACTCCCTATTGCTTCCTGGATTTTTAAAAATTCATGATAAAATTATGAAACTTAGGAATTAATAAAATATTCATTTTTTATGAGTTATGACACTAAAGTTGACAGGTATTAAATATTTTTTTATGATTTTATACCAATAAAACTATTATGAAAAAAAAAATTTATAAAAATATTCCACATGTTAAAATTAAAAAATAGTATATTACACACCTAGGGAAGTAAAGTAAGAAATGTCTCAAATCACATGTAATTGTTGGCCGAGGCGAAGCCGAGGTCGATGTTGGAATATCTAGTAGAATACTAGTTCAGGTGAATGAGTAGTTACAAGGAGCCGTTAAATATGCATTTATACCTCTGATGGTTTATTATAACAGACTAATTAGTACAATAGTCTTCTTAAGATATAGTGATAATAAGAAGGACAGCGAGGGTAGTTATGTGATACGCATGAGCCGATGACTCTAACAGTCGACAAATATGTAATCTGAGGTTTTCTTATATTTACTGCCCATGGTGTGGATTTTTCTGCTCGACGGAGGTAGAAAGCGGCAACTTCGCTTAGCGCAGTGGGACGAAAGTTAACACTTTCCGCCCAGAGGGAAGAAAATGTATTTATTAAATAAAATAATGAATGATTAATATAGGTTGAGAAATAACAAAACTAAAGAGTGCAAAAAGACGTATTCAATATACAACCCTGCTGAAAAGACCTCATAGAATGTCATAGAAAAAAAAAAATATTCTATAAGATTTTATGATTTACTAATATACGTATGAGCCAGAGAAAATTTTCTCTCAAATATTTTATGATATTCTATTAGTAGTTCGTCAACTCATAGATTCTCATAAAAGTATTACTTATTAGTTGTTATGAGATTTTATGAGTAGTTTCATTAATTACTAATATTCATTAGATTTTATGAGAACTTCGAGATTAAACTTCAAGTAGCATTTCTATGCGATTTTATGTGAAAAATTGAAAGAAAAGTAGCTCATAACAAGTTATAAACAATTTATAAGAAATCGTGATCAGTATTGCAATTGAAATTCTTATGACTATTTATGAGTATTTCCGTAGACAAATACACATCAAAGTGTACTGAAACTTATCATATTCTATCCGTTAAAAAAGCCCGGAATTCAGTATAAAATCCTATAAAATACCATTTTCGGATCACTTTACAATATATTGTTATGTTGTAATGTACAATGACTAAAAAATTGTTAATCAGTTATACTTATTGAAAAAAAACTAAAGATTTGAAATGTCCATTAATGGAAGACTTGTAATCGTCGTTATATGAGAAAGATAATAGTATTACAGATAAGATTAATGAAGTAATAATACACAATCTAGTTTTGAAATGCAACTCAAAATTTATTTAAAAATTAGATAGACAAAATTATATAAAATTCGACACACAATTACTTACAAAATAGACTAATACATAGTTTTTACAATTTATTTAAAATATTAAATAACTTTTTCTTTAACTACAGACAATTCGATTTTATTTAATAATATATATTTTATTTTGTGGTGAAGATATTGATTATTTTAATAAAATGGGAGTTTTATTATCAAACACTATTTCTTCACTACCAATCGATAAATCAGTTATTTTAATTTATAATAATAATTCAATAAATTAAATTTATAAAAGAACTCTGATAACTGATGATTGATTATATTATTATTAATTAATTATTAGATATTTTGAATACAATCAATAAAATTTCTCAATTCATAATTGCTCAAGTATTCATAAATATCTAATATAATTTCATAGGGAAGAAGAATAATGCAATTTAACTTGCTAAGTTTTTTAGATTCTTCTAACAATCGAATTCTTTTGTTAACTGACTTGGTTATCATCTCTTGGTCGATACTTATAGAGACAGTTGATAAGTTTGTTACTTTTCGCGAACGGCTTAACAGTTTTATCATTAAAAATCTTGGCAGCCAGATTATATAAAGTTTCTCTTTTTTTTCCATAACGAAAAACAGTTCCTTTCAACAACTCATTAATAAATCTACATTCAAAGTCTTGAATCTTTTTTCTATAATCAGAAGACGATGAAATTAATTCATCCATCTGAAGTATTACTTCTTTGGGTACGAACATTTTAAATTCTCGTCTTATCCTCAAATCCCTCAATATGCAATCAATGGTGTTTACTCTTCCTTTTTCAATCTCTAATTCAATAGTTTCTTCGTCTTCTTCTGTATAAAACGAATGCCAATAAAATAAATGATCAGGATTTTTAATTGGAATCAAGGCATAAGACAATGCTTTGGATCCAGTACGTGAGGGATTATAGCGCAACAAATTTGAAACTACTTGAGAGACACCTCTATAAGCAGCAGTATTACATATTTGCACATGCACGTCATTGTTCATCCTTTCATCATAATCATTTTTTGAATAATAATAACGATATGTTCTGCAGGGTCGATCATGAAGTATATAGTCAAATATTATTAATTATTATTATTATTATTAATTATTAATTATTATATTTCTTATTAATACGAATTAAAAATTTAAAAAAAAAATTTGTTTGTATCTTTCATTTTTTACCCAAAATTTGAGATTAAAAATCAAAAACAAGTTTTTACAGCCAAAATTAAAGTAGTTACAGTTTGACTTAAAAATTTTAAATATATGACGAAATTAATAAGAAACATTTTTGTAGGAAATTTAATTCTGTATCAACAAGATTCTTGTCAATTTTTCCGTATTTCGTATATTTTAGCCAGAATTCGGGGTGAAAAGTCGAAAAAAAGTATGAGCAAATTCTCGATTACGAAAAAATCAGGTTTGTAAATATAAATAGTAGCTGAATATTTGCAAGGAGTTGGGAATAAAGGGAAGGGCTACGGCATAGGTCAAGAAGTCCGAGTCGCATGTTCCTGGTTGATCATTGCGCTCGTGCGATCTCTGATCAGTGCTCGGGCTCACTAAGTATCATCTTTCGACTTATATAATATCATAAATTAAAATTTTTTTTCACGCTGAATTTTTTAGTGATTAGTTGAATCTTTTTAAACGCAATGATGAAAAAAAAATAATTGTTTTTTTCACAAATTACTATCGTAATTAATAAACAATGGTTTAATTTATTTGATTTTTTCAATTTGAGACAAGGGTTTATGACCTTTGTTAAACTGAAGCGATTACAATAATATTCTATTGTCATTCCTTTTATATGGGCCCACTTCACAAATCTGGGGAAAAACTGTGGCCAATTAGAGCCGACCTTTTCGAGATCGTTGCCCTCTCTTCCTAGATTTACCCACTGTGTCGTCTGGGCCTCATCTACCTGTTCTCTCTCTTATTCCTATGTACTACTAGAATTTAAATTTGCGCGCGCAAACGCGCGCCTGACTATAGCATTTGCATATATTTTCCTGCTTATGATATATTCGACCAATCACGTTACGAATAGTTTGATGCCACATACATTTCATCTCAATTTTATTATAGGAGGACTAGAATTCAAATGTACGCGCGCAAGCGCGCGCCTTGACTATAGAGTTTGCATATATTTTCATGCATATGATATATTCGACCAATCACATCACGAATAAATTGGTTTCACATACATTTCATCTCAATTTTATTATGGGACTAGAATTTAATTTTCGCGCGCAAGCGCGCGCCTCATATTTATTATCATGGTATATTTATGTGTCGTTTATGTATAGTATATTCACTTTCAACCAATCAGAATGAGAATATTTATTTTCAACCAATCACATCACGAATAGATTGGTTTCACATACATTTCATCTCAATTTTATTATGGGACTAGAATTTGAATTTACGCGCGCAAGCGCGCGCCTTGACTATAGAGTTTGCATATATTTTCATGCTTATGATATATTCAACCAATCACGTTACGAATAGTTTGATGCCACATACATTTCATCTCTATTTTATATTAGGATTATTATAGGAGGATTATGCTAAATTTAATAATAAAAATAATGTAATTAAAATTTTTTTTATTTTTTTATAGGTTAGAGAGAAGCGAGCCCAAAATGAAAGACACAAGTAATAAACACATACAATAAATATATTTAATAATAATGTTAAAATTAATCTTCCGGTTCTTCGACGTGTGCTTGATGTTTCGCGTCGATTATTGAATCTAAATCAATTAAATTTCTGTGCCTCTTCAAAATAACTTTAAGATCTGGGTTTTCTCGTACCAAATGAGAAGCTACACTTATGAAATTAGTTATAAGCCTTTTCATCATATTAATTTTTGTTATTAATTTTAGTGCTCTTGCTTTTTTTCTGAAAATAAAAATCATTTTTTGGTAACTCTAGTATAATTAAAAAAACAATAAAATAAAACGATATGTTTGTATATTCCAACTTACTGAGCTACTTCGGGATTTGATTCAGCTAATTTTTCGCTTCTTATTGCTTCCTGAACTTTTAAAAATTCATGATAGTCCATCAACAATTGGTACATCTCATCTCTCAAACTCAATTCCTGCTCACGTAAAGTAATAGACAATTCTTTTTTGTACTTCAGTATGGAATCATTTAGAGTGTATAAATTTGCCATGAGTAATTTTACTCGACTGAAATTGAAATAAAAAAAATTATAAAACTCATAAATTAACTAAATATTTATTTATTTTTTATGTCACTAAAGTTAACAGACATTAAATATTTTTTTATAATTTTATAGCAATACAATTATTATGAGAATTAATTTAGATGTTCAATAATTTTTAGAATTTTTTTAACAAATAAATTATCGAAAAAAAAAAGTGACTTGTAGAAATTTTAAAAAATTATAAATGCAATTTTTTTATAATAATTTTTCAAACTAAACTCATTTATTAAAATTAAAAAATTATCAAGTGACTGTTAACTTTAATGTCATAAAATATTGTGAAAATTAAAAAAAAAATATTCAAAATATTTTTATGGTTTATTTTTTTAAATATTTGTGGATGTCAACTTACTTATGAGTAGCTGGATCAACATTTTTATTAAACAATGCTTGTTGAACAGCATAAGATTGATGACAAGCTATCACGGCATTATCATTAATTACACAATTTGTTAAATTATTATTTAAATTTTTAACAAGTCTTGGAGCTTCATCATCCGTTGGACTTTCTATTGAACCTAAAAAAAAAAATAATGACAATAAATTATGAAAATTTAATTAGCTAACATCTGAAAATTTTTATAATTATTTTTATTGGAAAAATTGTTACTATAAAATTAAAAGAAAAAATTTCACATGTAGAAAATTTGAAAAATTATATGTGCAATTTTTTTAAAGTATTTTTTTACTTGCAATTTAATATTTAAAAAAAAAAAATAGAAAAATTTTTCAACGTCGGCTAACTTTATATTCATTAATAATTTAATATAATTTTGACAAGTGCAGGCACTCGCAAATTTTTAAAAAAACAAATGAATAAAAAATAAAAAAATTCAGATAAATTAAAAAAATATTTTTATCCAGTAAAGGCAAAAAAAAGTTATCAAATGCATGCAATAAAATTATCATTTTAATCTTACCCAGATTTAATTTAATTTTTAATGTTTTTATCCTAGCAGTTAAACAATTTAATGAGTCACGTAATTCTTTTATTTTCTCATTAATTGGTTTATAATCATCAAGTGTTACTGCGGCAACTGGGAAGCCTGTGACACTTGCATTTAGAATTAATAATGACCGCTTTAATTTTTCAATCTCTTCCATTTTTAATTAAAAATATTTCGGCAGCAAAAAAACAATAACAAATGTTCACTTTGAAGGTTATGATCACGAATATTAGAAAAATAACTTGAAACTTTCCCTCCAAAAGTCATTTTCACGCATGCGCAAAAGGATATTGGTAAATGCTGTGAAATATGACCGGAGCCGTGCCGCCATGTTTGTTGATCTTTTTTTGCGCATGCGCAAAAGCCATTTATTTTAAGCGCGGGAAAAGTTACTAGATTCAAATATAATAATTAAATTTAAACCAAGCCCTTAATTACCATGAAAATTAAATTAGCTAACTTCTAAAAATTTTTATATTTTTTTTTTTGGAAAAATTAAAAAAAAAAATTTTAAGTGCAGAAGATTTGAAAAATTATACGCGCAACTTTTTTTAAGTATTACTGTTGAGCATTTGAAGCACAAAATACTAAATTTTAATAATAAGAAGATTTCAGCTTACCAAATTTGGCAAAAATAGAGAATGAGTTACAAAGCATTGATAGTTTATAATTATTCTCTTTAAGCGTTTGATAATTATCACAGAAGAGCGCTCTTTGTCTCTGATGAAGAAAAATTGTGACTATGATCAAGGTACATGTAGATCATGACCTCTTTTGAAGAAAGTTAAAAAACTTTTGTTCTTTCCAAATACTTTGTTTTGTAATATTACCTTGGTACACAGAAAAAAAAATTTACTTGAATCAAGTAAATAATTTTAAAGAACTTCTTATTAATTTGAGAATAAAAATTCTTAAACTAAGAAATTTTTCTTGGTTTAAATATATTTTAGTATAATGAAACTCTTCAAAATTATTTTCTTGATTTTAGAATTTTTTTTCTTGATTCAAGTTAATTTTATTTTTTTAGTGAGTGTTATAGAAGTAGCAAAATATTGAGATATTTATGATCCAAGAAGTTTTGTTAACACTTATTTTCAATTATTCCTATTTTACCAAAATTATTTTTAATTTTAAAAAATTATCTTATTCTAGATTGAAAATTTCCATCCAAAATTATTTGTCCAAATATAGAAACTTTTTTTCAACAAGAAAATTACTGAGAAAAATTTTTATTTCTTCAGCTACAAAAAAAATTGTTTAAAATTTCCAAAAAATAAATTTCTTGTCATAAAAATGTCCAATTTTTTCAATAAAAACTTTTTTTTTCTCAGTGTAGCTGATAAAATTTCATAAGTTTAATTTATAATTAAAAATTAAAAATTATCGATCATTTTTATAGATCAAATTTAGAAGAAGAGTAATTAAAAAATAAAATTAAAAAAACGAAACAATTTTATAAGGAGTTAAAAATAAAATAAATGATGACAACAGTAATTTTGTTAATATAATTTATTGTATATCGAGGTTTCAACATGGAAAAGTACAAATATTGCAATATAGGGCCCGCGAGCTCTCCTCGGGAGGGAGGGAGGGAGGGAGGGATGTTTGCGGTACAATTGCACAAGGAAGTATATGATAAACGAGGTAAACACCTTTTAATCCTTTATCATAATGTATCACTTTTTGTAAAATAATTTACCTTCAAATAAACCTTCCTTTATTAAATAATCATTTGTTACTCATTATTATTCGTTTATTTTTAATTAATCATTTTAAACAGAGGGACGAGAGACGCACGTGCGAGAGTCGATAATATTACTGTTATTTAAATAGTAACTCTGTTATCTTTTTTTTTTTTTGTGAGGGGTCGGGGACAGCAGGAGGAGGTGTGGACAATATTTATTATTAATCATCATCTTCTTCTTCTTCTTCATCTTCTTCATTATTATATAATTTAGTTTTTAGTAATTGTAATTGTAAATAGTACATGCCCAGAGACGCGATGCAGGTTATGTAATATAATATATAAGATCAAAAGTATAGTCAATAATATAATGCATGTAATGTAATATAATATATTGAGTAAAGCATCGCCATCTTGCGCATGAGAACTTTGGACGACATTACGTGAACATGTCACTCAATCATTGTTTTATTTTAAATTAATACTTTTAAAACGTTTTATATTTATTAGTTTATTATTATATTAATAATATCAGGTTGATTCAAGGAAGAGGTTCCCTCCTCTCCATGGCCCCCGCATATATTTAATACTCATTAATTACTTCGGCCTTCGCGCGCTCGTCCTTATCTCGAGATTTTAATTTAATATTTTTTATTTCTTCTTCTTCATATTTTTTTTTTCTTTTTTTTTTTTTTTAATTATTTCTCATTACAATTTTTCATTTTTTACTGTCTAAATTTTACTCTGTATTTCTTCCCGCCTACTTAAAGGTGCCTCAATAGAGGAGTAAAGAATCGACATAAATCATACCAATATATATATATTTATATATTATTTATAATATTTATTTATACATATTGTAAATCGGAGATACCTCGAGCGCGCCAAGACAAATAAATCCACCCTTACGCAGCGCTATTTTAATTAAAAACAAGCCGAATTTTATGTAAATTATTTTTAAAACCCGACTAGACAATTATCCATAGATCATACAAAATAAAATAACGCTGCGTGATGCGTCTCTCGCTAAATCCACGAGAACTTTTTTTTATTAATAATTAATATTGTTCTCTTTTTTTGGTGAATCAGCGCTCGGAAATAATCTCTTCTCATCCTCATACTCATAATTCAATAATTAATTACTTTTTATGCAACACATAATGCGACTAGGTAGTACAGGTTAATAATTAATAATTAATATCGTTAGTATATAATAATAACGTATGACTAGACAATGCAAGATAATAATTATATCGTAAATATTAATAATCATGGATCGCAATTTATGTCAACAATATGATGGCGCGTTTTTTTTTTGTGTTAATTGTGTTTCTTCATTTTGTATTTATGTTCGGAAAATATTACCCTAATTGCGCGTTACGTGATTCTTCCTTTTTACTTTTACTTTGTTTATCCTATTCCTGTGTGTTGTATTATGCGTATATATAATATATAATATCATTTTATAATTTTTAAGTTTTAGTTGTATCACCTTATCAACTTCACTGTGTGCGTTTTATTGTTTGTTTGTTTGTAGATTTTTTTTTTATTATTTTTAAATACTTTAACCCGTGTGTAGTCTGCCGTTGAGTGCGTGAAGAATTCTCATGTGTACACGTGTGTTTTTTTTTTTTTCTAGGAGCTACTATCGTCTTGGTAACGGTTGCTATGGTTACAAGTTTCCTTAGCAACGGTTGTTAGGTAAAGTTTTTTCATAGCAACGGTTGCTAGGTAAAGTTTTTGCGTAGCAACGGTTGCTAACAGTCAAAAATACTCGGAAAAAAATTCTACAAGCTATTCTTAACCAAGAATTTTTTTCTTAGTTAAAAATAATTTTATTTTTTTGAATTAATAATTTGAAATTTTTTTTTCCGTAAATTTCAATTTTAATCTGAAAAAAAAAAATTTTTTTTCAGCAATTAAGATGTTTAAAAAAATTATTAATATATTCTAAAATATTCAACACAGAAAAAAAAATTTTTTTGAATCAAGTATATAGTTTTTAAGAAGTTCATTTTCTTGATTTGAATAAAAAATTTCTTAAACTAAGAAATTTTTACTTAGTTTAAGTAAATTTTACCCAGTAAAAAATTTCGTGTTAAAAATTTTTTATGTTAAATATTCAACACTTTTTTGTGTTAATTTAACACAATAAATGTTAAATTTACACATAAAAGTGTTAAATACTTAACAAAAAATTCTTTAACGCAAAATTTTCTACTGTGTACACGAAAAGAACAAGATGACACTGGATATCATCCCAGATTATACTCAGTGATATCTCCGGAATTTTTCTTCTTATCATTATCATAACTATTATTTATTTTAGATATTAGTATAGTCAAATATTGTTTTAAATGATCTGAAATTTCACCACAGATATCACTGAGTATAATCTTAGATAATATCCAGTGCTATCTCGTTCTTTCGGTGTATTTAAAGTTATTTTGAACCAAGAATTTTTTTCTCAGTTAAAAATAATTTATTTTTTAAATTGATAATTAAGAAAAATTTTTTTTCCGTAAATTTTACCATAGCAACAGTTGCTAAGGAAAAAAAAAATCATAGCAACCATTACCACGACAACTATAAGCAGTGACATAACATCAACTTTTCGAATAAAGATTAAAATTATGTCCAAATATCCCGTGTTAAAAAATTGCGGCATACTACAATAATTAATTAAATATTTATCTTTAAATATATATATATGTATATAGGTACTGACAATTTTCGATTTTTGTTATGTTAAAATTTATTTAAATTGTAAATCTCTAGTTGGTTTTGTATATTATGATTTATAGTTATATATTAGTGGCATTTATTAATTATTATTATTATTATTATTATTATTATTATTATTATTATTATTAATATTATTATTATTCGTTATCGAATATCGATAGTCATTGATATTTTGTCGTTTATTAATTTACATTAACATATGTATTTTTTATTATTATTATTATTAATTAATTATTCAACATATATCGGTAGATTCGGAACCGCCTCGACACTGCGGGGTTATGACCAGGGTGCTCGGGGTGCGGCCCGACTCGATATTAATTATTACTTAGTTACTTTTGTCCCGGGATTAAGAATATCCAAACTAAGAAAATAATTCGGGTAATGCCTCCGTTTTACGCGATCGATTTTTTTAACCTGGACTTTATTTAGTCTAATTCGATTTTGTTCGACAGTCTGATAAGATAAAAAGAGAATATTGTTATAAAAATTTTTTTTTATATCTCCCAATCGCTGTTTGGTTTTTTGGAAGCACGCGACCGGGTTTAGTTTGGTAATATATAGAGACTTCTATTAAGGATTGTCCGTTCTCTTTTTATCTATTTAGTGCTACCAAATTTATACTCAATGAAACCCAATTAAATTGATTATTCAAATAAATTGATAATTGAAATATTAATTAATTCAAACATCGTCCAGCGAAGTTCCTTTACGCCGAGTTATCTCCC